GTTGCTGGCTGCTGAGGCTGACAAACCCAAGGCTGACAAGTGAAATGGCACAGTCTCAAGATTATCAAGCAATATGGCAGGCCACTAATTCAAGTCCATTAACAGTCCCAAGATTGGCAGACAACATGGCAGGCCATTGAGATGAAGGCTCAGCCACATGCAGGGTCCATGCACACCAAAAAGCTCAAAGACCTTTCTCAAAGTTGTCTTCTTATATGCTGGAAGTAGACCACATTCCTAAGGCAGCTACTCAGCTGTTCCATCAGGTTCTACCATGGAGTTGATTACCAGTCTTATCATGGGAAATAACTACATCCAGCTGCCCAGCCACTCAAAACCAGGCCCAGCCAAGTTGACACACAACTTGACCACTCCAGGGCATAAGTATTAGCATACAATTAGTCTCTGTAACAAATCCAGTGAATGACTTCCTGAGACATGAATTCCTCAGTGTTAGCTAACAAAGTTTTTAGTTGTATATTAGTGGAAAATCTTTAAGAACTCAAAAATAAGAGGCCAAGCACCACAAGAGGCCAGTGGGAGATGCATTACTCTGCTCTGTGTCAGTCAACGTTTTTGATTGCAAGCAACAGAAACTAACTCTGCATGATTTCAGTAAAAAATAATCTTTTGGCTTTGTTTTTAAGTGCTATCTTGTCAGCTCTGACCCATAGCAACCCTATGTACAGAACAAAACACCGCCCAGTCTTGTGCCATCCTCACAATGTTTGGTATGCTTGAACCCATCATGGCAGCCAGTATGTCAATCCATCTTGTTGAGGGTCTTCCCCTTTTTTGCTAACCCTCTACTTTACCAACCATGATATCCTTTGCAGCAATTGCTCCATTCTGACAACATGACCAAAATACATGAGACAAAGTTGGGCCATTCTCACTTCTAAGGATTATTCTAGCTGTACATCTTCCAAGACATATTTGTTCTGTCTTCTGGCAGTCCATGGTATTTTCAGTATTCTTTGCCAACACCATAATTCAAATGCATCAATTCTTCTTTGGTCTCCTTCATTCATTGTCCAGCTTTCACATAGGAGGCAACTGAAAATACCATGGCTTGGGTCAGGTGCACTTTAGTCTTCAAAGTGACGTGTTTGCTCTTTAACACTTTAAAGAGATCTTTTGCAGCAGATTTGCCCTTAGATTACATCATCTGATTTCTTGACTACTGCTTCCATGGGTATTGATTATGGATCCAAATGAAATGAAATCTCCGACAACTTCAATCTTTTCTCCATTTATTGTGATATTGCTTGTTGGTTCACTTGTGAGGATTTTTGATTTCTTTATGTTGAGGTGTAATCCATACTGAAGGCTATAGTCTTTGATCTTCATCAGTAAGTACTTCAAGTACTCTTCACTTTCAGCAAGCAAGTTTAGATATCACAGGTTGTTAATGAGTGTTTCTCCAATCCTGATGCTGTATTCTTCTTCATATAGTCCAGCTTCTCAGATTATTTGCTCAGCATACAGGGTTGCCGCGGACCAGCACAGCCACTAGATTCGGCACTAAACTCGAGGAAGACTTAAGGTGAATAGGGAGTCGGCGATTTGGCTAACAGATTACAAACAACTCAAAGGCTGAGTGTATCTGAGAGCGTTTATTGCCTTTAGTTACATGTTTTTACAGTATAACCAGTTTCTCTTTTGATCTTAATTTCACAAGCACAAGCTTACGCAAAAGCATAGAAAGTAAAGTACCTGATCAAAAACAACAAGTTTACAAGTTCCCATTACAACACAATTCTAAGTACTACAACAATGATCATAGTTATTGTTTTGGCTTTTTGTCGTATACCCTGAGACTTCCCATTACGTTGGGATCCTTTTCTAGCCACCAAGCAAACTCTTTTTCTGTCCTTTGGAAATATTTACTTTTGAAATTTGCATTGTATCTTTTCACTAATGCTGTGAGCTGCTTTTTTAAACTTGCCTTTTGTTCATCAGTTAATAAACACCAAGGGTTTCTCATTCTTTGTAATCTTTCTGTAAAACTTAATCTATACCAGGACATATGTTTTCCATTATAATTAATTATTCTATCCCCATCTTCAGTATATATTCCTGTATAAGGCAAAGGACTATCAATTGGCTCTGGCAATTTATAATTTCTGCTTTTTGGAGGTCTCCATAACCTACCTCCTGCTAAAACATAAGCAGGCCCAAACTTAGTCATAACAGTTGGAAGTAATTTCCTTTTTATACTTCTAACAAATCTTTTTGTAGGAATTTTTTCTCATATTTTTGTACAGTCACTGGAGATGTTGTGGTGGTCCTTGGTTTTTTCCAGCATGAGTTCACTTTGTTCCAAATCATTGAAAAAATCCCCTTCGGACAAATATGTCTGCATCATCTTTAATATTGCTTGCAGTACTGGAGGTAAATGTTCTTCTGGAAAATTTCCAGAGGGTTCTTTTGTGTTCAAATTACTCTTAGGTAAGTTCTTAAGCTCTCTCTGCTCCAAGAAGTTTCCATTATAACTAGAAACAATCATTCCCATTAAAATTATCAAGATCATTAAAGGACAAAAACAAAAGATAAATATAGAGAGAGCACACTTGACCCCAGGAAGCCTGCTGTTTCCTTGAAACAAACGCTTCAGGCCGGTGACTATGTCACGCAGACCCCACCGGGGCTGTCGTGGCACAGGGTGAATACACCCCTGATACACACCTGTTCTGATTTTAAACCATCCACTATCCTCTTGTTTGTTCAAACAACTACTTCTGGATCCATGTACACATTCCTCATCAACCTACACAAAGAAGTAATTTTGGAAGAATGTGAGAGAGTACACAAAACAGGCTCTGACAATAGGCAGGAATTAAGGGAGGCAACCTACAACAAGGTTATGTTATTAGATGCTATCATCCTAAACCCTTGGTTGTCACTTGTGAACTCAAGCTCAGCTTTTTTTTTTTTTTTTTTTTTGTGGTAATCAAATAAGCAAAAAAGCAATCTACTAAGCAAAAGTAATTAAAAACACTTCTTGTGTCTTATTGTGGTAAAAGTGAAAAACCTGGGTATCAGCTGAGCCTGGGTCACACATACATAATAACTTCTAAGAAGTTGGAAGAGGAATTATGTCTCACTTGGCTTCCAGAGTAGGAGGTATTATACTGTCTTCCACTTATTCTAGATTTCCTAAAATAAGACTAAGGAGCCCTAATGGTGCAATGGTTAAGCATTTGGCTGTTAACCGAAAGGTTGACTATTTTAACCTACCCAGCTCCATGAGAGATAGACTTGGCAATCTGCTCCTGTAAGATTGAAGCCTTTAAAACCCCTATGGGACAGTTCTACTATGTTACGTGGAGTCTAAAAGAGTTGAAATCGAGTAGATAGTACCCAACAACAACAAAGTAAGACTAGTGTTTAAACTCTGGGCAGTCAAAAACAGTCAGTTTTCAAACAACCAGTCTTCTCTCCGTCGTTCAGATTCCTTTTGTGATTCTAACCTCTGTCCAGAACTTTCAAGATCTAGGACACACCTAGTCTAAGGAATTATGTTAGAAATCACTGCTCTGGCCTATAGAGAGTGGACTTGTTGTTGTTATGTGCCGTTGAGTTGGACCCGACTCATAGGGACCCCTCCTTGGGTTTCCAAGGCAGTATCACTATGGAAGTAGATTGCCCCACCTTCCTTCCGAGGAGTGGCTGATGGGTTTGAACCACCAGCCTTCTGATTAGCAGTCAAGTGCCTTAGGCTCTATGCTACCAGAGCTCCCATGACAGGACTAGGTGTGGCAAGTCATTTTGTCCTAAACATCAAGAGATTAAAGTGGGCCAGGGCCTGGGCTGGGACATCTGTTGTACTGGTCAGAACTGGAATTATGGTAGTGGCAATGGACATAAAAACAAAGACAACATGAAAGAAATATTTGAAGGCAGATAGAACCATAGCGCTTGTTCGATAATCTGCAATGTGGAAAAAAGAGGAGAGAGGAGTCAAAGGGCACAGCCAGATTTCTGACTGGAGAGAGAAGTGAAGCATGTGTACGTGTGTTTTTACATAGCCACCTCTAGGGAAGCAAGGCCCAAGTTTTGTTTTATTCTGGTTTGTGGTGGTTAGGTGGGAGGTTACTTTTTCAACATAGTGAATGTAAGATGAAGAGTTCAGTCAAATGCCTTAGGCACTACGCTACCAGAGCTCCTAAGATTTCAAAATACAATTGAATTTCGAGGTCTGGCGTCCCAGGGAAGGTCAAGCCTGGGGATGGCCACTGGCTGAGGCCTTGGACGTGGTGAGTTTCGCCTAGGTAGTGTGTTAGAAGAAGATTGCCAGGGGAGGACCCCAGCGATTCCCAACATTTAGGAAGAGACCTTAGCGATGGATACCTAGCTAGGTGCAGAGGATGTGTTCTCCTGCCCACTTCGCAGCGCCCTGGCCTCTGCCTGGTGTGCCCCAACACGCCCTTCCCTAAGCCCCGCCTCCCTGGGCGGGGCGGGCGGCGGCGGCGAAATCACCAGGAAGAGTAGGCTGGGTAGGCCTGGGTGTAGCGCCCCCAACCCCTGGGCTGACCTAGGGAGGGGCGTCCTCAGGCTGGAGCGAGGGGAGGGGGACCGCAGAGAAGGCGGGATGCCGGGATGCCAGTGTTCTCTGGGCTGAGGGCGGCGGCTGTGGCGGCTTTGGTGGCCACCCTGCTTTTCCTGCGGCGGGAGGAAGCGGAGTCCGAGGCCGGCTCCAGGTAACCCCCTGCAAGGGAGCCGAGCTTAGCCCCTGGACTCCTGTGGGCAGAGGAGGGGGAACCTCATGGGCCAAACGGGGGTAGCTGTGGGGAAAGGGCCTGCGTGATTCCCTGTTTATGACAATTTGTCGTTCCCTCCAGCCCTGGCCCCTTACGGTGTGTGAGTGGGCTCAAATGCGGAGCACCTCAAGGTCTGCCCCGCCCTCGCCCCCGCCCTCGGTGACTAGGCATTTATTTACTCCTGGGCCCAGACTGTGGAGAATAACGAAGACTGCAGAGAAGTTATTCTCCTCTCAGACAGATAAACAGCCCTTGTTCCCCGGGGTGAGGAGGGGCCATCCCTAAACATCCTAAAACCGGCACCTGTTTTAGGATGGCAGAGGCTCTACCTAAACTTCGAGAAAACTTCAGGATGCAGAATAAGTCTGTCTGTATTCTGGGCGCCAGCGGGGAAACTGGCAAAGTGCTCTTAAAAGAAATCTTGGAACAAGGCCTATTTTCTAAAATAACACTCATTGGCCGGAGGAAGCTCATCTTTGAGGAGGACGCTTATAAAAATGTGGTGAGTGACTCCGTGGGCAAACAGATTTCACGTCTAAAACCCAGTGGTGGAAGTAGCAAGAGGTGGTCAGAATTTGGCCAGCATTGGTCTGTGAGAGCCGCCGACTGAAAGCTGGAGTCCTGGATTGTAGGCCCGGGTCTGCCTGCCTGTCAGGGTGTGAGGCCTTGGGCAAAACCCTTCTCCCAATCTACACCTTTATAAAGGGGGCATAGGGAGCTCTGGTAGCATAGTGGCTAAGGCACTTGACTGCTAACCAGAAGGCTGGCGGTTCAAACCCACCAGCCACTTCTCGGAAGGAAGATGGGGCAATCTACTTTCCTAGTGATACTGCCTCGGAAACCCAAGGAGGGGTCGCTATGAGTCGGGTCTGACTCGAGGGCACATAACAACAACAATAGGTAGTATGGGGGCTGTCTTAACAGCAAAGGGCTCAGTTTTCAGGGGAGACAGTCTTGATTCCAGAGACAGTCCTGTAACCTTAGGCAGTGTGTTCAACCACTTTGTTTACTTGCAATTCCACACTAAGAGCCTCTGTGAATCTGAAAACGCAGATGTGGGAAAGTCTGGACAGTGAAAGGTGAGGTTACAAGAATTTGCCCTGCCTGACTTGTCTTTAAATGGAATACGGGTATGTGTTGCTTAACATTTGGGCAACGTCCCACTACATACCTGTTCATAGGTGGGGTGCCCAGGTGTCTGAATGCCACATCGCCAGGCCCTCTTCTTGAGGTCAGAGTCTCACTTCTGCCTGGTTGCTGTATACAGCCAGGAAGCTAGGTAGTGTGCAGCGACTGGATGCCCAGGCCCATACTCCCAACTCTGATCCCCCTAGCCTCCTATGACTCACCAGTTTGAGTTCCCGCATTTTGACCAGTGTGTTCTTGTATGGCACCAATGGTACGATATGTGCCCTAGGTGCCCCAACCCTAGCTCAGGTGGCCTTGGCTCCTCCGCCTTGCACTGACCCTTCAGGCAGGTTCCCACAGGCCAGGTGACCTTCACTGTAGCTAAATCATAAAGATCCAGTCACATAATACCCTATTTCATGGTAGGTAAGGTCTGGTAGCATAGTGGCTAAAGCACTTGACTGCTAACCAGAAGGCTGGAGGTTCAAACCCACCAGCCACTCCTCGGAAGGAAGGTTGGGCAATCCTACTTCCGTAGTGATACTGCCTCGGAAACCCAAGGAGGGGTCGCTATGAGTCGGGGCCGACTCGACGGCACATAACAACAACAACAACAAGGTGGACATTAAGCTATGTACCTGTATTCCCATCACTGTAAGTTATGCTTTCATGGGTAAACAAATGATACATCAGACTTGGATTTGGTGATTAGAAAATATTTTTTTCCTTGTGTTGACTGAGCTTCCTGGAGACCCCATGTGTGTCAGAGGACAGCTGTGCTCTGTAAGTTTTTAAATGGCCGATTTTTACAAGTAGGTTGCCAGGCCCTTCTTGTAATACACCTCTGGGTGGGCTCAGACCGCCAACCTTGCTGTTAGCAGCCAAGTCTGCGCTTCACGAGGGTTCCTTTCTGTATTTAAACCGAGTCATCTGTGAAGGGAAATGAATTAAACAATATGGTGTGATCTTGAGACATTGTAACTACTGAACTGGTCCCACTGCCACATTGAGGGGATTGCAGCTGATGCCATGAAACAAAATGTGTATAAATTGTTGAGTGGAAAACTAATTTGCTCTATAAACTTTCACCCAAACTACAATAAAATGTTCAAATTGGGGGGAAAAAAATACTGAACGGCCCAGATTATGGCTCTGAATTTATTCTTTAAAGTGTTTTGTCTACCTTTTTAATAACATCTGATTATATACAACTATGTCCTTGTTGTCTAGAACCAAGAAGTGGTAGACTTTGAAAAGTTGGATGACTATGCCTCTGCCTTTCAAGGTCATGATGTTGGATTCTGTTGCCTGGGTACCACCAGAAAAAAAGCTGGAGCGGTAAGGAAAGAATGCTTTTTTCTTCTTGCCAGACAGTAATGTTAAAGGTTCTCTTTCTTGCTCACTGTTTTTCTCTGTACCTGCTGCAGTGCTTAAATGTAAATAAGCTCTTACCGTTTATGATTCTGTGTGCTGCTCTAGCCTTTGCTGTTCTATGAATAGTATTAAGTTTTACTCATTTTTCCTTCAAGTAATCCTTGAGTTCAGGCCTGAGTGCTAGAGGCATCTTAAGTATTTATACAATCTTCTTTGTTGCAAATACTGCTGTCACTACATCCTCTGACTAAAACAAACCATTACCACCACCATCACCATTTGACATCAAGTTGCTTCCAACTCATGGTGACCCATGGATGTCAGAATGTAACTATGCACCAGTGGCTATAAATTGGAAGTAGATTGCCAGGCTTTTCTTCAGAGGTGCATTTGAATGGACTCAAACCTCCAACCTTTCAGTTAATCTTTTACACCACCCAGGAACTCCTAAGTCAAACCATTACTCACTGCCATTGATTATAACTCATAGCAACCCCCATTGGATTTCTGAGGCAATCAGTCATTATGGAAGTAGACTGCGCCATCTTCCTTTCCTGGAGTGGCTGGTAGGTTTGAACTGCTAACCTTCTGGCACTGTGCCACCAGAGGTCTGAGTAAAAATAACTAGCTCGTGCTAGTAGCAGTAAGATCTTTTTTTTTTCTTTATAAATATTTCAAACTTGAAGGGTTCTCTCTTACGTGAGTGATTTGCTTCAACCCATTTTCATGCCAAGCTTCAGACTTCTGGGATAGAACGTCAGAACACAGAGGCACGATTCAGCTGGCCCCCAGTGATGACTCAGCCTCCAGTGATGATTCAACCCCAGTGATGACTCAGCCTGAAGTGACGCAGAACTGTTCTACCACACATTTTATTTTCTTTTTAATGATGTTCTAAATTGAATCGGCCCATGTCCAGAGTCATAGTTTACTACATAGTTAGAACTTATACTTTACTACGTAGATCCTGGGTAAGTGTTAATATATCTCAGTTTATACCTTCACTATAGTTATTCCTCTAGCAGAATTTACTTGCTGGAACTGAACATATATATTAAATATTCAGGACCACAATTCAGCTGTGGGGGCTTACCAGTAGTTTATAAACCAGGCCCATACACCACAATTGTGAGAGGAACACATGATTAAGAACTACTGGTTTGTAGCAACCAAAGAAGCAGGCTAAGATATATTTCTGTGGACCTCCTTGTCCATTCCTGGTGATCCAAGAATTCTATTTATGCTTTCAATAGCGATTTATTTCCAAACCTATGTAGTTCTACACACTTCCCCTAACCCCCAGCAACACAGCTGGGCTTTGAGCTCCATTGGGAAGTGTAGATTATTGAGAAGTTTGACTCTCCTAGGAATTGGCACATAATCTCTCCCCAAAACGGTAATTTTCCTGCTCAGCAGCTAGTGCAGTCTTTTCTTTCCCAGGGACAGTCACGATGGTTTGCCCTCCAAAAGCACTGATTTTGTTCCAGTACACTGCAGTCTCACTGTCTCAGGTGCCAACCGGATTTTGGTGGTGACTCAGCAAAATAAAAATTCTGCATTAGGCATAGAGCAGTTGAATTTTCTGACATGCGGCAAATCTCATTATAGAGCATTCTGGGGAAAAGACCAAATTGCTTTGTCGCATTCAAATTGTATAATGCAGTTTTAGTCAGAGGCACTGGGTGTCTTCACTATGTGGAATATATATATTTTTTCAGAATATTTTTTTTAAATGGGGATAGTTCCCTCCCCCTCAGGCTTTCCAGCACCCTTTGGTTCTCCTTCAAAATCAGTTTGAAAAGGTAATTAACGAGTAAATAAGGGCAGAATTAGTCTCAGAAATGAAACGGAACCAAACCAAACCCGTTGCCATTGAGTCTGTTCCAAGTCATGGTGACCCCATGTGTTACAGAGTCAAACTGAGCTTCACAGGTTTTTCTTGGCTTCTCAAAGGAAGACCAGGCAGTCTACTTCAATAGAGATATCGCTTCGGAAACCCAAGGAGGGGTCGCTGTGAGTCAGATCTGACTTGACTGCAGGGAGTTTGGTTTTTTTGGTTCATCTTTTCAGAAGCAGATTGCCAGGACTTTCTTCCACAGCACCACTGGTTGGGTTCAAACCTCCAACCTTTCAGTTAATAGCCAGGTGCAAACTATTTGAAGCTTAAATGGTTTGAGAGGTTAGCGATAGAAAGTAAGCTGACTTTTCCTTCTGAAAAGGTTTTTTTTTTTTCTTTAAATCTGAGACTAATTTAGATTGAGTGCAGTATCATTTGGAGGTTGTGATCACTTTAGGCAATTTAAAAGAAGTGACAATCCATAAGTGACTAGGTAATAGTAGTTACATGAAAGGGCATTATGGATTTCCAAGCTAGTATTCTGGTCAGCAGCCCTCTCTGTAGAAAAGAGTTCAGCAGCCAGTTGGTTTATCAGAGGGGTATTACTACAAAGCCAGTGGCAAGCCTAGTGTCCTTCTGTAATTGTGCTATAACTCAAATATCCCACGTTTTTGCCTTAGCAATCTGAGTTTCCAGTAGAGAAACTTAAAGGAATTGAAGGTTTCTGTCTCAATGTTAAAATCCTTTGAGCAGCCGGCTTATTTCTCTATGATCTTAATATACCCAGATCTGCTGAAACTGTTGCTCCAAAAAAAAACCCCAAACTCACTGCGATTCCGACTCATAGTGACCCCCCCAGTGGGTTTCCAAAGTAAATTGCCTCATCTTCCTTCCACAAAGCAGCTGCTGGGCTTGAACCACTAACCTGCCAAATGCCTTATCCACTATGTGCTCGGGAGAGTTTATTAGCTTTCTTCATTTCCTTTAGCAATTGCTAGTTATAAATGACACCTATCCTTTCCCATCCACAGGCCATAGTTGTCTAATCAATATAGTGGTTCCTCGACTTGGCCCTTATCCATCTATCAGAAACTCTGAGGTTGGAAGCTTGGGATCTGTATTTTTAGCAGAATCAGGAAATTCTGATGTGGCCAACCTCATCTTTTTGGATCTCCTTTTAGGAAACACTGTCATGTCTTAGCCTTTCTCACCTGTTGGTTTTGCAGGTACTATAGCCCTATGAGTCGGGTTTGACTCGAGGGCACATGACAACAACAACAACAACAACAACATAGCCCCAGGTGTTTCTCACTTTGCTTTAGTGAGTGACTTCAGTGCAAGTGAGGGTCGAAATGCCCTTTGCCAGCCAGATCTACATTGACCCTGAGTGAAGAACACAGACTCACAGATGCCACTAAGAATACTGCACTCCCCCTATTTGTATTAAGGGAGTGAGTTTGAAGCAGTTTCATCTCTTTATTCATCTCACCTATTAGGAGTAGGCCCTAATAGTCAAGGGTCTAGGTTTTTGGATTCTATTGAGTTGTTAGTGATTAATTTGGGCATTGTAACATTTATTATGTATCATTAGAATCTTATGGCTTCTGAGTCTAGTGAGACATACTGCTAATCCAGGGGTTTGCAAACTGTGGCCTGTGGGCCATATACAGTCCACTGCCTATTTTTATGGCCTGTAAGCTAAGAATGCTTTTATATTTTTAAATGTTTTTTTTTTAAAAATCAAAAGACAAATATTTGATGACACATGAAAATATAAGAAATTCAAAAGACAGTGTCCATAAATAAAGCTTTATTGGAAAGCAGCCATGCTTATTATTTTATGTATTATCTCTGGCTGTTCTGTGCTATAATAGCAGAGGTGAGTACTTGCAACAGAGGCCTATGGCCTGCAAAGCTGAAAGTATGTACTGTGTGATTCTTTTCAGAAAATGTTTGCTAACCCTTGTTCTAATCTCTGTTGCTTCTTTGATATCTAGGAGGGGCCTTGTGAAGTAGAAAGGGCTGGGATGGTTCAAGAGACCTAGGTCATAGGTCCTGTTTGAATGCCACGCAGCTGTGGGATCTCAAGTACACTGGTTAGCTTCTGTGAATCATGCTTCCTTATCTCTACTAAGAGGGAGGTGACACCAAGGGCCCTTCCAACTGCAGAATTCTTTGACTCTGTGAAATATAAAGAATACCTCAAAAGGAAACATAATGAGAACACAGGGACTGACCCAGAAATCCTTGATATCCTTTTGATTTGATTTTTCTACCTAGACCTCTCTAACCCAGATTGAGCTCCTACCACTATACATTAAATACAGAGATGCCCTGCAGGACACAACCAAGTGGGGTCTCAGGTTAAACCATTTATTGTTTGTCAACAACTCTGTTTTCTGGGCTGTTTTATAGGGTTGGAATGAAAAGGGAGTGAAGGAGAAAGAATCTGAAGCAGAAGTATGGCTAAGTGGGAGCATTTACAGAGTGATGGAGCCTCCTTTGTTGGATAAGGCTTCTCTGACCTGGAGTCATTCTGGCAGGGCTCACTTGCCATAACCCTCAGCTTTGGAATACCTGGGGGATGTATTTGTTCTTATACCAGGGTGGTGTTCCGGTGTTCCTAGTTCACAAGCATTGGTAAAGAAGACTAGAAGAAATACCTAGTAGTTTTGGATTTTAATAAGACAAACTAAGAGGAATTGGAGACTGTCTTATGGAGCCTAGAGGATATTTCTGCTGAATCATACTGCATTGTTTCTATTCTCTGGAAGAGTCCCTGGGTGGTGTGTGCTTGGCTGCTAACTGAAAGATCGGAAGTTCAAATCCAACCATAGATGCCTCAAAGAAAGACCTAGCAATTTACTTCTAAAAAACGTGATCATTGAAAACCCTAAGTACTACAGTTCTCTGATGCACATGGAGTCACCATTAATTGCTACTGACTTGACAGCAACTTTTTCTTTTGAAGGGGGTGCTGGCAAAGGCAATTTATAGTGGAGACTTATTTATTTTTTCCTAGAATGAGCTCTGATCCCTAGCTTAGAGTAGGACACAATGACTATGGAATCATAAAGACATGATAGCATAATAGACTTAATATTCTCAGAAGAGACTTTTTTTCTCC